AGGGGATGGTGAATGAAAGCAAGAGACAGGAAAAGGAATATTGTGGGACTGTCCTGCTTCAAGGTTGTATATGGTTAGATTTCTGGACTTATGTGTAAACATAAGAATTATATAATTCTTTAGGCCTATTTTTAAAATATAGTTTAATTTTTTTAATGTTTTTTCATCTATTCTGTAGGGACTTAAAGTTCAACATATCAATACTTGATGAAAAATACCTGTTCCATGTTATGCCTAAGATGTTTGATATTCAGACAGATAGTGAGCTTAAGCTTAACAGTCTAGGTTGTATGGTAATAACAATAAGCTTTTTTCTGGAGGGTTAACAACCTAAGTTTGCAGACCAAAATTAGAAAAAAAGGAGGACCGCACGGAAAGCCAACATTTTGGCCTTAGCCTTACAAGGTCAATTAAGACTCAGGACATATGAGAACTTGTACTGTAACGTCATGTAACTCAGTAGTGTCCCAAATGTTCTGATCAAGGAGATTATGGGGCCAAAGAGGAAAGTGATTGATGATGTAGAGTGTGCCTAAGAGGAAAGTGATTGATGATGTGGGAGAGTCCCTGGAGAGAAAACATTCTCTCAGGCTTTCACAGAGAGCACATTGGCCAAGCAATGGCCATGATTCATCCACATGGCTGACACTGACAAAGGATCTACAATCTGAGGTACAGGATCTTAGGATAAATCCAGAGAGGATTTTACTGACCTTATCAGATCCAAAAGCTACAACTCTTGTTGCATAGGTCCTGCTTTATCTTGGTCTTAACCATCCAACAGAAAAGTATATAAATGAAGTATAAGAAGTACAGCCATGCTGTTATGTTGAGCTGTAGGGGACTCAGGTCAACAATTTCTGACATTGCCAGTGAAGCAGAAGACCCAATACTATTATGGACTACTGGACTCTTTTTAGAATATTTTGTTGAGTCAACACACCTATAATATTCAAATGACGGAACTAAACAAAAAGGGGATACAGATGAATGTCCATTTTGTATCTGTGTATTCAAAATGGTTAGGATAGATATATAGTTACATTCTCTTAGTGAATAAAGGGATTTGTTCTAATAGTGTGTGTAAATAGGATATCATGTCTTCATCTTGTTAAGCAAATAACCACTAGGAAGAGAGTATACAATGTGTTAATTATTGAAACTGTCCTACTAATGTGATTTGAAACTGTCTCATTGCTATGTCTCTCAATAAAATTATGGAAAAAAATAAAAAATTATGTGTATTTTTCTCTATGTGGATAGAAAATGGGGAGAAAGAAAAACAGCAACACAGACACAGGCACAGGCACAGATAGAGACAATACAGACAGACAGTGAAAAAAGCTCCCCCAAAGATAGTACACAGTGCGATTATAAGTAGTATCCTTTGTTGCTTTCCATATTTCATAGCTTTCTTTTAAAAACTGATGAGCATATACCATTTAAAATAACAATAAAATTATACAAATCAGGTTATCAGAATATCAATGTCCCTTAAAAAGCCATAAAGGTTCTAAACTGGGAATTGTACACAACAGTTGACCTGCAGGTTCTCAGGTCAGAACCCAGAATGTTTATGACGTCACACTCCCTTCTAGTTCCTGACACAAGTAAAACAAATACCCAGCACCTGGCAACGCTGACATGCAGGGCCTCAGTTTTCTAAGTCCTAAATGAGGAGATGCATTAGCTGGCCCATTTGTCAAAACCAGTGATCAGGGCCAGGGAGAGAGCTCAGCAGCATAAGCACCTGCCTAGCAAGTACAATGTACTGAAGTCAATAGCTGATAACACACACACACACACACACACACACACACACACACACACACGGTAGGTTCATTTCTTGGATACCTTCACAAATCTGTAAGCTTTACTATCAAGGACATTTTTTTGTCAAAGACATTTAAACAATAACTAGTCATCTCCTAGACTCCAAAAGTTGGCACAAGGTCATTTCCATAATGTATATTATCAAATCCAACAACAAATGAAGTCCTTTTAGTGATTAATGTAGTTTATCCTTGTTTTGTATTCAGTAACAAAGATATTATAGCTAAATGCAGGACTAAGTAATTTAATTATATTCTAAATTGAGAGCAAGAAGGCCCTATTAAAATTTAAATTCATTTATTGGCTAAAATGAAATTTGAATAGAGAAAAATTATTGCCTATGATTTGAGTCTGGAGATTTGATTCTAATACAAATGCTCCTGTATTTCGAGAGATACTTAAGGCACTACAATGATGGTATTTTATTTTTGGATCGTTATTTAAGCATAAGTGAACAAGCTATCTAAAAAGGTGTTGGGATAGTGTTGATTATCGTTTCCCAACAGAGCAAGATTAAGAGATGGCTTTCAGTTTAAAGAAATCAGAGAATGCTATTTCATAATAAATAAGTCACATTAATTGGTCAGATAGTATCTATTTGTAGATTCAATATAGCAATATTCAGATAAAAAGCTCACACTGAGGAAGGTTCCATGGTAACACGAGGCAGCCAAGAACACTGACTGGAAGGCTAGCATTCTATGCAAATCAGAGGTAAGACACCCACTGCAGAAAGCTATAAAGAATGAGGTATCAAAGCCACTCATCATATCTTAGAAATGAAGAAGATAGAAGGAGCAGGAAAACAAGGAAGAAAAGAGAGGGGAAAGAAGGTAGAAGCAGAAAATTAAAAAAAAAAAAAAAAAGAGGAAGAGGAAGAGGAAGAACAAGCAGAAGAGGAGGAGTAGATTCATAGTGCTAGGTAGTAGCTCACACCTGCAATCCCAGCTACTGACACAGGAGGATCACAAGAACAAGGCCAATGTGAGCAACTCAGTGAGACCTTGTCTCAAAACTAGCTAAATAGATCAATAGACCTGGGATAGAGCGCAGTGGTACAATGCTTGCAGAGTGTGTGGGAGGCCCTGCGTTCAGTCCTTACCATCACACACACACAGAGACAGAAAATTCATCATAGAGCAATCTTTTCCCTGAGAATAAATGTGCATATTCTTAGTTTAAAAACCTTACCTGGGGCTGGTGAGATGGCTCA